AGGAGACTTGAAAACCTAAAATTACTGAATGCCATCACCCTCCAAAGAATGGAAAGCAGTTGGACCGGAAAAGGGCTTGGCTAGCTTCCCAGTGGTACTGGAGCAATTTTTACACCCATGACAGCTTCCTAACCCCAGTGATACATCTACGTACCCCTAGAAAGCATACTCCATTACTTCCAGATCTGGTTTCTTTCCTTTGTTTTCAGGGATTTGGGAAGTGGGGTGACCTAGTTCTACATTGGGATACTACATGTGCTTTTGGGCCGTGTTAGCTATTTTAGGGGTGAAAGGCTGCACCAAAATTAGCACATTATCGGGGAGGAAGGGATCACCAAAGGGAGTTAGGAGGGTACAAAATTCAGAGCGTTTAGGCTACACCGTCCCCACCCTGTCCTGCTGTTTTCTCTTTAAATATAAATGTCAATTACATTACATATGCTAGCACCATAAAACTGGCTACTACAGTATTGGCTTTTGGACTAACTACCAGAGTATTTAGCCATAGACTGCAATAATTTCAACTTCTGGTTTTAAATTCACACATATACATGTGCACACATATAATCACTTGGTAATATAGTATTACCTGTGGCATCGTTTGTTGTCACCAAAGTTGTATATATTCTTGCTGTAATTGAGAGAGAAAGGATTAGCATACTTTAAAGATTCAGGTGCTAAAGGTGATCAAGTAAATATTCTGGTTGATCCATCTTCAGATTCCCTGAGTCTGTATCCTCCTTATCTACCCATTTGCTGCTGTATCCATTTGCCAATTTTGAGAAGCCCTGAGCTGCTCACTGCTTTGATATTCAGCCTGTTCACACTCCTTTTAGTCCAGAAATGAAGCGAACCTTAAATGCTTACTCTTTAACTGGCTGCCTGGTGCAGATCGTCAGTTCCAAACCTTAAGAAAACCCTAAAGGTGTTGCAAACACATTCCAGGATTAGTGGGTTTGTGTCAGAATAAAAGCAGCCTAAATACGCATAACTGAGCACTGAGACACACACATAGAGTGATTTTTCAAAGGAAGCCCTATCATGAACTATTCATCTGCAATTTAGTAGAATTGTCCTCTGCTTTAATTGCAAGCAGGTCTCCATAAAAATACTGTCTAGCATGGGAAAAAATGTTGTAGCTATTTTATCTTCTACTGCAAGTCCATGAGAGGACCTATGATTTGATTTCAGTTCTGGACTGGGTCTAAAACAAATTAGCCTAAAATCAGAATGACTGCATTGGACCCTGGACCAAATCTGGAAGGGACAGGGGCTTAAATGGCTTATAGAAATTATCCTTGATGCAAAAAGTATTGAACTATTTAGGAACGTTTTTGTATCCAATCCTATATCCCATGTAAATTGTTTTCTGTCTATTTTAGTTTTATTTTTGAGATAGGGATTTGTTGTACTCCTTAAAATGCATGTGTTCTGTACACAGATGGCATCTAATGATGCATTTTTGGGTTTGCATGCTCCTGGGAACATACAGAAGACTGCAAGGTATTATGAACATGGACAGATTAACTCAAT